AGAGTCCCCGTGGTCGCTAACAGGTAGCTCCACGTCCAAGGCATGCTCGTTTCCTGTTCCGGGAAACTCCATGCGTTCAGTCGCTAGCGTGTCTGTAAGACAGCTGAAGAATTCTTTGTTGTCTTGCGCCGGTGTTCGCAACCGACGACTACCGTGTTCACAACGGTGACCTCGATGACAAATCCACAAGTAACTTCATTATCCAGTCCATAAGTCTGTTCCCTCCTATCACTTCACTACTCTATACCAGTCATGCATCGTACAGTGTACCATCAGCTCGGAACATATGCCGCTGCGATCCAGGTCATATGTCACACTCGTCAAATGTCGTTCGTGACCAACATGTTGTTCCTTCTGACACGACTCCTGTGACACGGCTACGGTAGTTGATACGCGACGCCTCAAAGATGAAAAGAGGAAGAAGGCGTCGATGTGCATATGGTGCCGCGTGGCAGGCCCGCAGGTCGGTCTGAGGGGTGATAAAATCCAGTCATCCGACCGAACGATGAAGAGATTGTGCGGGGTGGCGAAGTGAACGGTGCCCCGATTGAAGAAGAATGAAGAACAAACGCCCGACCCGAGATGTGATTAATGGCGCGGATTTGGGGGTGTTGCCAGATCCGGCGCAAAATATGGAGTCGGTTAGAGTTGCCTGTTCCATGCGAAAACTCTCGAATAGGTCGAGAATCGACGCATACAGACGGCATTGAAGGCTACCGGAGGACGAAGTGACGATACTCAAAGAATCTAAGCTGATGACGATTTAGGACGGTATGGATGGCGACGAACTATGTTCAACGTAAGTGCAGACGTGAAGTGCGAAGACTCGACAGTGGCGTGAGTGTGCAGCGAAGTGAACAGCGGTGGAATATCCTGCGGTTGGGGGAGAAGTTGTGCAAGAAGACTCGACGGTAGCACGAAGTCAAGAAACGGTTACGTTGGGCAGTGGATAAGACACTCCGTAAACACATATGTGTGAAGAGCCCGCAGTGTTGTAGGCTCAGAGTGAAGATCAGCCTTCAGAGAAGGAACACAAGGGAGGTGCACGTCAAGAACGTGAGGGTACGATAATCCAACCGGCATAATTGCTGGTTCCGCGAACGATACTGGTGGGATTGCCAGTTCTGCATGGTGTGACGAAGGATGGCGATATGGTGGAGTTTCCGCGAGCGACGTTGGCAGAGTTGCCCGTCCCGTGTAGCTTAGGCTGTACAGCACAGTGTATTCCCCGCCGCCGGGCACTAAGCCACTGAAGATTGCGAACTGATCATCCTATGCCAAGGCATGGACGTCGCGCGACGAACTCGCTCCCAACCACGACAACCTCTTTTAGGCTGTCACGATACTTGACGGACAAACTTTGGAAGGAGTGGACATTGGTACTACTAAGTGAATCCCTGTAGTTCATAATGTTCGATAACTAAATTTATATAACGTCGATCATGGATACAAATACACATTCTCCAAGTGCTCATGTGTGTCTCGTTGAATTGCACGCAATGACGTCATACAGGCTAAGAATAGGAGACGAATTAATGTGTTGTAATCGAAAAAAGTCGGACAGGGGTCCGACTCTACAATGATTGGCTCAAAATCGAATGAATCTTGGACACAAACTGACACGAAGCAATAATGCACACATGAATTCGATTTAGATACCTACGACTCTCGTCTACGCTTTCTAGCTAGGCGCGCAAACGTGACCATCTTCAACTGAGACAACCGACGCTGTCGTCCCAGTTGAGTCTGT